ATAAAATTATAGAATGTTAAATTGATTTTAGCTCAAAAGAATAAAAAATAAATAATTATAAATATTTTTAGTTTTATATAGAAAGTTTTTATTATAAAATAAATTAAAATAAATAATTCTTTGATTTTTAAGAATACAACAAAAAATTAAAATAATACAGATAATATTAGACATAATTTTTTTTAACCCTTTATTTTTCATAAGTAAATCATAAATTCTTCATAATCATTCTACTTTGCAAATTTAAAAAAGGTATAAATGAAAGAGGAATTGAAAGTTTCAAAGAAAAAATCAACAAAAAAATCATAAATAAACTATTCTTTTATTCCATATAAAAAGATTAATGATGTTTATTGAAATTGGCTTGACAAAAATAGTTATTTAATATAAAAAGAACTTCAATTTTTATTTAATATAAGTTAGAAGGAATGGTTAAAATTACAAAAGCCCAAAAAGAAAACACTCTACATGCTCTAATGAAAATACAGTCGACAAATAAAAGAAGAAAGTATATCTTATCTGGGTGTTATTATCTGATAACTAAAGGATGGTCATTTCTTTTTTCAAAAGAGAAAAGAATAGCAGGAAAGTTAGACCATTTCTTCCCGATTCAAAAAATATGGAATCAAAATGGGGTAATAATGTTTGATGAAAACCTTGAATATGATTTAATTAAAGCAGAAACAGGAATTGTTGAATTAAACTTTGATAATGAAGGAATTCCTATAAAGAAAACATCAATTGAGACAGATAAAACAAAAAAGAAAAAGAAATTAACTTATAATGAACTTGTTATTATGAATATTCTTAATGAATATTATAATAAATATGAAGATATTGGGCGTAATACTAAACTACTTTGCACGAAAAAATCAAAAAAGACGCTTACTAGTCAACAATATCAAGAACTTCCTTTAGTGAATAAAGATGGTGAAGTTATTGGTGTTTATAAGAATGAAGAAGTTTTAGAAAAAATTGGAACTCCAATATATAGTTTTCTTTGTTCATATTTATTAAAAACAAATACACCTCAATCAAAAGGTCTTTTTATTGGGAATAAAGACTATTATAATGAAATATCTAATAATATATCATGA